GCCTAGAGTAAGCTAATACTAGGTAGGGAAGGTGCCTGTAATAATATAATAGAAAGTATTAAGATTAATAAAATAAAGAGGTATAATTAATACTTTTAGTCTTAGGTCTTATAATAGAAGTTTAGTAAGTATAGAGAGTACTAACTCTAATACTATACTAATAATATATCTACCCCTGGGGCTTAACATAGGTAGGGTAGGCATGTGTATCATAAATCTAGGAGAGACTAGTATTTCTATAGGGGTAAGTTTATATTTATATTTATATTTAGAGCTGCTAGTACTATACCTTCTATATTTCTTCTTCTTTAGTAGTTAGTCTAGCAGGCTTAGTTGGATTAGTAGGCTTAATTAGGCTAGTAAGCTTAGTAGGAGTGATCTATTATATTAAATTAGCCTAGCTAGTTAGCCTAGCAGGCCAGGCTGGATAGGTAGGCTTAGTGGATTTAGCTAATTTAGTAGGGCTATTTTCTAGGGGTATTATAGTAAGATGCTCTATAAGTAGATTATTATATAATAAGATAATAAGAGCTAGAGCACTAGGGTATTTTAAATATTAGTCATTAAGTAAGTAAATATAACTATATTAGGTAAGGGGGCAGCCTAGGGGGGAGGGTATACTATAGGTAGATAGGTAGGTATATTAGCTAATAGTCTAGGGGGTATATTAGTTATAGTTAGGGGGTGTATTACTTCTGGATTTAGTAAGGATATATTTTTTAGTATAATATCTAGCTTAGCTAGCTAGGCTAGCATAGGAGGTCCTACAGGGTCTACTAGCACTATAAAGTATTATGGTTTGTTATATATTTAGATCTATAGCTCTTAGGTATATTTATATCAGGCTAGATATTTAGTACTATTAGTAGTATATTATCTATAGCATACTATATATTAGTAGATAGATGGGTTTTCCTTATAAATATAGTACTTCATATTATAGGTGTTAGCATAGTAGGGGTATATAACTCTTAGGGTAGTATAGATAGACTAAGTATATCTAAATTAGTAGTATTTTATATATTAGGATATCTTATAGAATAGGTTATATAGCTCTATAACTAATAGTATATTATCTATAATTAACTAATAGCTAATCAGATAGTTAGCATCTTATAAATCCTAAAATAAGATAACTACTAATACTTTCTTATTCTATATTAGAGCACTATTACTGCACTACCTAATATATAGTATAGGGTGTTATATCTCTAGATTATAGTATAAAATCTTAGCTTATAGCTATTCTATTGCTTTTATGCGTGGTAGTAAAAGAGAAGTAGGCATAAAGTAAGTAAATATAATATACTAGTAGGTTATAATTATAGCTAACCCCCTAGATTAGATCCAGGGAAGCTATATCTTATTATTATATAATAGATACTCCTAATCTAATACTATATATATATATAGATATTAAGATCCCTACTATAAAGGACTATAGCACTAGCTACCTATATACTATTAAGTATAAGGCTTCTACTATCTCTTAAGATTTATTAGATCTCTTTAATAATTATAGATAGTTAGATCTTATTATAGGGGCTGGCTAGTAGGCCACACTAGTGGATCTATATGTAGTTATTATTATTATAGGCTAGCTAAGCTAGGGGGGACTAAGGTAGGGGAGCTTTAGTAGTAGTCTAGGAAGATAAAGAGATAAAGTCTATACTAAGGACCCCCTATATCTAGTCTAGTAATTCCTAGGTATAAGATATTATTAATAATAATATTACTAATATTAATATACATACTCTTACTAGTAGCTATAGCATGCCTAACCTATACTCTAGGAGCTTACTAGCTAATATATATACTTATCTAGTAAGATTAGTAACCTAGTTAGCTTTTAGTCTTTTTATAGGGTAGTCCTAGGTAAAAACCTTAATGCTATAGTAGTACTATATAAAGTAAAAGGTCTAATTAATAAGAGAGGAAGAGATATTAGCTAAGGAGGCTAGCTACTAAGTAGTAGCTATATTAATATTATATATTAGCTTATTAGTAGCTAGAAGGGATATAAAAATATATTAAAAGTTTAATAAAAATATAGATATATTAAGAGTAGTATATAAAGATGCCTAACTTAGTATAGGGAGGCCACACCTATTAGAGCTAAATAACTAGTAGTTAGCTAACTACCCTACCTAAAGAGCTATCTTTAGTAAGAGGAGGGCTTAATATATAGAATATAGCTTAAAAGCCTAGCAGTCACTGAGTAGGGCTATAATACTATAGTAGAGGGGCCTAGTTATTAGTATTAGCTACTAGGTTATAATGTAAATAGTTAGGATAGTAGTAGGGGCAGGGTTTAATTAGTTAGAGGTATAATAGGGTTATAATTTAATTATTTAGTAGTAGTAGTAGTAGTAGTAGGGGCATTAACTAATTAGCTAATTACTAACTAGTATAGTTCCTAATTTAGTAGGATCAGTAGTGTATATATTAGGGATAATTATAATAATATATTAGTACATTTTTAGGGTATATTAATATCCCTTATTTAGATATCTTAAAGATTAATATATCACTAGCACGCAGTTATCTTTCTTAATAAAGATAGAATATAATAAGATAATCTATGCAGGCGCAGTAAGAGAGATAAAAAAGATAGAATATAGTAAGATAAGATAATCTGCATAGGCACAGTAGGAGAGATGAAAAGGATAGAATACAGTAAGATAAGATGATATGCACAGGCATGGTTATATTTTATATATTAACCTACTTACTACCTTAACTTATAAAATATAATACCTTAGAGTAGTTTTATTATTCTGTTAATACTAGGGTGTCTATCATTAATATATATATTATATAGTATTTCTTTTAGTAAAATATATAGTAGATTATCTTTTAAATAGAAAGGTAATTAAACTAGTACTAAAGAAGCCTTATTCTTTTATAATATCTAAATAACTATACTTTACTTTATGTCATGGATAAGATAAGCAATTAGGTAGATAGATACTCTTTCACCTCACAAAGGAACAATAATTAATAATCTTCCTATATACTTGCAGAACCATACCATTAGGTTTACCAAATTGGTAGCATGTCCTGGTTTCTAGGACTAAGAGAATAATAAAATTTTTTTTTATTAAAACTAAAATTACTAATATTACATGAAGTAGGCATTCCATTCACTCTATAGGATATCTACTAGTAGTTAAGTTATTTCTGTTATTAGTTTTCTCTCCTACCTTTATTAGTTTTCTCTCTTAGTTTCTATTATTTTTATTATTTTATTAAAAAGTTATTATATATTAATTAATATTAGCAGAGATAATAAAGTCATTAGTATAGCAGCTCTTATCTTTTATTAAATCTAGGTATGGAATAGCATAAGATATTAATTAAGATGTTTATGCTAGAATTTAATTTTATATTATAGAGTAAAAGATAGTTACTATACTAGATAACCAGATTTATTATTAAGCATCTGCTACCACTGCTATAAGGTGTTTTATAGGAGAAATAGAATAGCTATAAGAAAACTAGGATTTTATTAGTTTCTATACCTAATATAGATTAACTAATAGAAGAGTTATATAAAAACTACTTAGCAGGTAGAAAGATATAATAATACTAGAGATACTACTACTTTCTATAATCCTATCTAGGGATATTTTATTTACTACTCTAAAAGTAAAGTAGTTAATTACTAAGTATTATAAATCTAAATCTTAATTAACTCTAGTATTACTATTATCTAATTAACTTAGCTATCTTAATCTTTAAATAATATTATTACTATTATTTTATTCTTATATAATAGCATTATTATCTAGTAATAAGACTATAATCTTAGTAGATACCTTATCATTACTTTCTATAGAGCTATCTATAGAAATTCTAAGGAATTATCATAGTTTTAATATTAATTAATCTTATTTATCTAACTTATCTAAAAACCTTTTAATAATTACTTCCTTAGGACTACTACCTATAATAAATAAAAATAATATTATTTTTACACCTGCCTAGTAGGCATAGTTAAATAACCTAATTTAGTTAGTAGTTAAATAATAATAATAAGAATAATAGAAACTAAGATAGATATTATGAATCTTTAACTACTAAACTAGTAATAAACTCTAGAGATTAGAGACCTATAGATATTAGTTTCTTCTTCCTTAATTTATCTTATAGCTAGGGAACTAGAGAAATTATTAATAAAGATAATAAAACCTATTATTATTCTGCTATTACTTTTACTAATTATCTTTAAGTTATTATATAATCTTAATTAGTAACTAAAATAGCTTAAAATCTTAATATATATCCTAGAGGGGAAGCTCTTACTTAGTAGAACTTAGAGTTAGATAGTATTATTAGGTATGGTCTAATTTATATAATAAATATAGATACTTAGTATTATACTCTTAAAAAATATTTTAAAATACCCCTAAGTTTAGCTAGATAATACCTGGATAATTATATCTATACTATTATTAATATTATTAACTAAAAGTTACTATTAATTTATATCTCTATAATAGTCTCCCTTATAAAATAATATAGAGAAGGAGATACTAAATTTCCCTTAGTACTATAAGCCTAGAGGAATCTGGATATTAGACTTAGGGAGACTATTAATAAGCTAGATAAGAGAGTCTCTCTAGTTAAGTTTATTAATATTCTAAATTATAAATAGACTAACTAGTTTAATAAATTTAGTATATCTGCCCCTAATATTTAACTAAGTCCTTCTATTAGATAGAACCTAGCTTTCTATAATTATTATCTATAAGCTACTTAGTTAAGGTTCACCCTAATAAAATCTAGATATAATTACCTAGTTATATAAGGCTCCCCTGCCCTTATATATCCCTAATACTCCTAGCTATTACTATACCCTTAAGGATTCCTATATAACTAGTGAAGTGGTTATAGCTAATATAGTAGTTATTTATATACTTAGTATATAAGACTATCTAATTAATATACTACTACTCTATATCTAAATAATACTAATAATAATTAGCTATATAATTAGTATGGACTACCTCTGCAAAAGAATTAAAATAGTTATTAATTATACTAGAATAGATATTAGAATAGATATTAGTAATAGTAGTAATAGAAGCCTTAATAACCATAATACTAAGATGGTTATTAATAATAATACTAATAATAATAATAAGGTCAGTAGAACTAGCAGTAATAGTAAGCCTATTATATAGAGGGCTCTATAGAGTAAGAATTAAGTAAGTTATAAGATAGAGAAGAGGCCTACTAAATAAAGAAGTAAAATATAATACCTAAAAATAAAAGTACTAAGTAGATTGACTTAGCCTACTATTAATTATATTAAGATAGTAATAATAAATATACTAAGCAGAATTACTAAGAAGAAGAGTAATAATTATTATTAGCTAAAATATTATATTACTATTATAGATATTTTTTTAACTCTAATAATAAACTTTATAGCTACCTTCTATATTATATAGCACTAGAAGCTATATTTTATATTAAAGTTATAAAACTATTAAATCTACTAGTTATTCACCCTTTATTTATAGAATTACTAAAATTATAAGATAGTCTAGGATTTTACTACTAGAAATATATAACTATATAAGCCTTCCTTAATATTATAAAGTAAGGAATAATAATCTATCTTAACTTAGATTATATAATAATTATTATTAATTAAGCTTTTCTCTTATAATATTTATCTAATATTCTAATTTAGAAGTATTTAATACTAGTTCCTATTTAAAGTATAACTAATAGTTTTATTAGCTATAAATTTATATTACTGACACTCTATCTATCAGTAAAGTAAGGAATATATTATTACTTAATTTAGATACTAGTTAAAGTATATCTAATAAATAGTCTTAGAGTAAATATATTAGTTAGAGCTAATATATTAAGTATATATAGTTTTATTATTAATTTTACTTATTATAAAGTAGTTATTACCTTATATAAAAATATAGAAATACTATTAATAGTATTACTAAAGTTATACTATATAGAACTAAGACTAATCTACTCTTATAAATAGATAGTTATACTACCTTACTTATCTATATATATACTAGTAAAACCTACTTAATATAAGAATAATTATAACTATCTCTTTAAGCTATACTAGCATCTAATATTAGCACTATTTTTATATATCTAGGATGTAAATTTTAGTTATGTTTTAGCTATTAATTAATTAACTAAATCTATGGTCATACTATAACATTAAAAGTTAGGCTTAATATCTAAATTTAAAGTAATAAGTATCTATTATATTAAAGCAGAATACATAACTAACCTAATACTTATACTATCTATAAGTATAATAAAACCTATTTATGTTATAGATATACCTAATATAGAAGTAATAATCTTAGAAAATAGCATTAAAATATATAGACTAATAAAGGTTGCATAAGACCTAACTAATATAATAATATCCTATCCTACTATATAGATAAATATATCTATAATTAATATGCCTGAGGAATAATAGATATAGATTTACTTATATTCTAGATAGGAAGATAAGGTCTAATACTTAGCTAAGCTATATAATATTAGATGTTATTATAGATAGGTTATTAATAAACTTTTAATTAATTATATGAGCAGGGCTATATAGATTATTTAATAAATATAACTCCTATAGGCACTCTATTATATATTCTAGATCTACTATTATTATTATTTCCTTATAAAAATTAACTAATACCTCCCTTACTAATATAGGATATAAAAATACTAGTCCTACTATTACTAATCTTTATTATTAATTATTTATTACACTATCTAGAAAAGATTCCTAACACTAAATTAAAAAGCTGCCCTGTGATTAATTTTTATAGAATAAATATATTAGTTATACTAGATATCTACCCTATCCTATCACAAGCTGAAATAATTATAGAGCTTATTAGATATATAGCTATTATAATCATAAATACTATAGTAATATTTTATTAGTAGCCTCTATATCTAGATAGCTAATAGCTTACTAGTATTATTACTTATTAAGAATAAGAATACTTTAAGATTTATTTAATAGGGTTTATTAAAGAGCACATATAGACATAAATTATATAGTATATTATAATCTATTCTTACTCTAAATATCCTATTTTATATAATTATAATTAATATTATTATTATCTTATTAGACATAGGATAGTTTAATACTATTATAAGTATAATAGATAAGTTCACTAAGTAAATAATAGTAATACTAAGAAGAATAGACTAGATAGTATAATAATAGGCTTTAAGCTTACTAGCTTTACTAGATAGGGGTAATTAGGGTTTATCTAAAGTTATTATATTTAATAGAGATATAAAATTTACTTTAGAACTTTAGTATAAATTTTATAAAGCTTATAAGATAGAGTAATACTTTTTAACGACTTATTATATTTAGATAGATAGCTAGAGTAAAAGAATAAATTAAACTATTAAAATATATCTTTAATATATAATTTCCTCTCTTAATAATATATATTAATAGCCTTCTATTATATTATAACTTAATAG